CAACAAAATTTCATTTTAAAGTAGACCACTTAATGTACCTTTAAAGCAGTGGTGAAATCTAATTTTTTTTTACTACCAGTTCTGTGGGCGTGGCTTGGTGGGCATGTTGTGGCTTGGTGGGCATGGCAGGGGAAAGATACTGCAAAATCTCCATTCTCACCGCACTCCAGGGGAAGGATTCTGCAAAATCCCCATTCCCTCCCCACTCTGGGGCCAGCCAGAGGTGGTATTTGCCGATTCTCTGAACTACTCAAAATTTCCGCTTCTCCAGAACCTGTCAGAACCTGCTGGATTTCACCCCTGCTTTAAAGTGACAATAGAGTTATGCTAAGTCTAAGAGCTTTTCCAGGCACCGAGATTAGGATCTTTCCAGGATCTGTTGCCAAAAAATATTTTCAAATAAATAAATAAATAAATTTATTGTCATTGTACATGTATACACAGTATACCCATACAATGAAATTCACTTAACACCCAAAGACCAGGTCCAACACACATAACAATCCCCAAACACCCCCACCCACCCACCACCAATTCCCCACCCCTAAACCACCCAAACATCCACACAACAGACCAAGTCATGCTGTCCAACAGCTCACTGATGGTGGCCCTTTAGTTCATCGTTGAGTGCAATTATAGCTCTGGGATAAAAACTATTCAGAAAAACGTGTGGTCCGAGTTTTAATTGTTCTGTATCTTCTGCCAGAAGGCAACAGTTTAAAAAGATTGTAAGCAGGATGGGAAGAGTCTCTGAGAATGTTATGCAACTTTCTCAAACAGCGAGATTCGAAGATGCCGTCCAGGGCTGGTAGCTGGACGACAGGGAAAGCTGGAAAGAAACCAAGGTAGTTGGAGCAACATCTCCATTGTAGGTTAGGTGGCCAGTAAGTACAGGTACTCCTCAACTCTCAACCACAGTTGAGAGCAGAATTCCCATTGCCAAGCAAGACGGTGGTTAACTGGATCACTGTTCTGTCCCCGTCTCACACACACGCACACAAACAGACAGCCGGGGGTTAAATAAACTGGCAGACAACCAATTCTTCCGATAAGAAGCTTGGCAGCAACCCAGTAGCTGCGTGCCAAGAATTTTACTCATAAACAAAATACACACAGTTCAAGAATCGTCCAGTTCGTAAAATAAATCCAAGGCAGAGAATGTTGTTTCCAAAGATGCAATGTGACTCGATAGTAGTTAGTTTTGTCCATCACAGAGTCTGAATGGCCACCTCACCCCCTTTTATATCCTGTGGGGTGTGGTCCAGTGACTCAGCCTAATCTCTGGCACGCCTCTTCTTCTGTTGCGCGCGCTTATCTCTGCGACGCTGCCGAGGAACCAGCCAAGACTCATCTCCCTCATTACTGTCCACCTGTGGCTGCGTGGATGTGCTTGGCCCCGGCCCTATCTCTTGCCCTTCAGCAGGCACCGAAGGCATTGCCAAAGAGGAGGGTCCTGGAGAGGGAGGCCTTGCCAACTCCTCTCCTTCACTCTCGGAGTCCTCTCCTGCCGATGACACAGGCTCAGGTAATGGAGCCACAACAATCACACCCCAATTTTTACTTGCCACAGTTGTGAAGTGAGCCATGGCAGTTGCCGGAAGCCAGCTGAGAAGATGGTGAACAATGATCCCATCACCCTGGGACACTGCAACTGCCATCATTACATCCTGGTTGCCAAGTGCCCAGATTTTGACCACATCACTTAGGGATGTTGCAACGCATGTTAGGTATACGTAACTTTTTCAGCACTGTTATAACTTCAAACCGTCACTCAATGAATGGTTTTAAACCAAGGACTCCCTCTACCTGCAGAAAACTGATCATCAGACTTCTCAACAGAGGCCATAGACTGAGCGAAAACTGCTGACGTCCATCTATGTTTACGAACAGGAACTATCACCCTTCACAAGTTCAGAATACCCTCAGTGATAGAATTGTTAACTCTTATAAAAGGATGCACGCTAAAAAACAAGTTCGTTGTTAAATCACAGCACACTGACTTCAATCACGAAAGGCTCAATCAACTGTATCAGTGATCCAGTTCTACAGAGGAATGATGGAGTCTCTCATCTGCACCTCTCTAACTGTCTGGTTTGGTTCTGCAACCCAACAAGACAGACACAGACTTCAGAGGATAATTAGAACTGCAGAAAAAAACAACGGCTACCAACCTGCCTTCCATTGAGGACGTGTATACTGCACGAGTCAAAAAGAGGGCTGTGAAAATATCTACAGACCCCTTGCATTCTGGACATAAATTGTTTCAACTCCTACCCTCAAAACAACGCTATAGAGCACTGCACACCAGAACAACTAGACACAAGAACAGTTTTTTCCCTAATGCCATCACTCTGCTAAACAAATAATTTCCTCAACACTGTCAAACTACTGCATTTTTCGGAGTATAAGATGCACCTTTTTCTCCCCTAAAAGGGGGTGAAAATTTAGGTGCATCTTATACACCAAATGTAGCTCCACCCACCCACTGCCCCTCACTCTTTGGCCTCTGCCTGCAGCAGTTACCTTCTTGCAAGCAAACAGCAAGAAAAAACAGCTCCTTTCAGCTTCAGCACAGCCTAATTAGCACAAGTTGATTGGATCAGCCTCCCGACTCTCAGCTGATTTGCTCTCAGCTGTTTTGTACAGGGCTCTGCTGCTTGGTGCAAAGAGGTAAATTGCTAGAGCAGGTTTTTTTTCCCCTTGTGCTAATCAAGTTATGCTGAAAACGAAACTGAAAGTAAAGCAGGCTGTTTGCTGTTTGCTCCAACGAGGCAAAATTGGTGAGAGGCAGAGGGAGATTTCTTTTGCTTCTTTTCCTCACCAAAAAAGGTAGGTGCGTCTTATACTCTGAAAAATATGGTATTCACTAAGTCTGCACTACTATTAATCTTCTCATCGTTCCCATCACCCATCTCCTCCCACTCATGACTGTATGACTGTAACCTTATTGTGGTATCCTTACGATTTATATTGATTGTTTCCTAGTATGATTTGATTGCTTATTTGTTCCCTATGACTATCATTAAATGTTGTACCTTATGATTCTTGACGAATGTATCTTGTCTTTTTATGTACACTGAGAGCTTATGCAAGAGTGGGAAGGGAATGGGGATTTTGCAGCATTCTTCCCCTGCCACGCCCCCCAAGCCACGCCCCCCAAGCCTCACCATGCCCACCAAATCACGTCCACAGAACCGGTAGTAAAAAAATTTGGATTTCACTCCTGGGTCCGGCATATGGAGGCACGAATCTAGAACCAGATTTGGCCATCAGTACTGAACCATTATGGCAGCTGCTCAGTATTCATTGGATACTTTCTGTATCCAGAACCATTCTCAGTAATCCTTCGAGGTGCCTGTTTTCTACATCACAACTATCTCCATGCATAAATCAAGGTTCATATGCCAACAGACATTTCAATAACATCACTTAGAAAATTCTCTGAAAGAAGATCTGGAATCTTTTCCATCGTGATTCATATTTTCAGCCACTAAAAGCCACTGTCCTTAAAAAGGAAGAAAATTAAGACGATGGATTCTACATTAGTGGCCAAAATTGTGGAAACCTTTTGGGAAAAGTGTATTTTTGAGGTTTGATGGCTAATAACACCACTTTTTTTTTTTTTTTTGGTGTTTCAAGATAATCCTATTCCATTGCTGGAATGGCCTGGGAAGAGCCCAGACCTTCACCCAATTGAAAATCTATAGAGACAACTAAAGAAACTTGTTAGTCAGAAGCGACCCAGCAATAAAACCCAGTTAATAGAAGCCATCATTCAATCTTGGTTCCGCATTAGAACAGCTGCAGAACTAAAAGACTTGGTTCACTCCATGGGAAGACGTTGTAAGGCCGTCATTCATGCCAAAGGTTACCCAACTAAGTATTAACTGACGTGGTGATAATATTTGTATATCTCGTTTTTTCTACGTGTTTCACTTTTCTTCTTTATCCTGTAACTGCTATTCTAATAGCAAATCCTTCCTAAAAGTTATTGCATTCCATTCTTGATTAAATTATCTTTCCATTGATATATAATTTTATGGTACTACTAAAAAAAAAGTGGTGTTATTAACTAGTTTTAGAAAATACACTTTTCCCAAAAGTTTTCCACACTTTTGGCCACTGCTGTAGAGGGGTAAGATCTCTTACGCAAAAGAAAATCCACGCAATTTTGAATATTCAGCTTCAAACGAAAGAATCCGGGCATGCCAACATTTGAGTTAAAATTGTAAGATTTTTCTAGAAAGATTGAGGGGTTGACCTGGGTATTCTTTATGTATTGAAATGTTTGTGGACATATGAACTTGATTTATGCTTGAAGATAGTTGTGATGTAGATAACATTGACATTTTTGCTATGATTGATGTTTGATTGATGTTTAAAGAAAAAAAAATACCTTGTAAGCAGGGGTGAAATGTACAATTTGTTACTACCAGTTCTGTGGGCGTGGCTTGGTGGGGGAGAGTAATGTGACTGGGTGGGCGTGGCCAACTTTTTTTTTTTTTTTACTTTTCAAAGCATTTTTTCTAATGCTTTGAAAAGCCTCTGCTGATCAGGAAACTCAGCTGGGATCGTCAGAGACTTTTCAAAGCATTTTTTTTAACCACCACTCTTTGGCCAAGAGGTTGCAGAAAAAAATGCTTTGAAAAGCCTCTGACGATCCCAGCTGAGCCGCGCAATCATCAGAGGCTTTTTTTTTTTTACTTTTAAAAGCATTTTTTCGTCAGAAGAGGTTGTAGAAAAAATGCTTTTAAAAGTTAAAAAAAAGTCTCTGATGATCGTGCGGCTCAGCTGGGCATGGGGGGGGCAGGGATTTTTGCTACCGGTTCTCCGAACCAGCCGCCGCCATCGCTACCGGATTGGGCAATCTGGTCCGAACCGGGAGCATTTCACCCCTGCTTGTAAGGTAAGATCAATGCTTCCCTTTCTTTGCAATTTAGAAACTAAAGATAACAAATTCATAAGAAAGTTTAAAAAAAAACAAAAAACTGAGTACTTACACGGTAAAATGGTAAATGAAACATTTCCATCCTGTAGGCCTCTCCAAGAAATTGTACACGTCTCCTTGCATGCTAGTTTTTGTTAAACGTGGGCCATAAAAACATTTAGGAGCGTAGGTTTGCTGAACCTCATGGCGTCTGATAGATTCGCTATTTATTTGGAAAGCAGAATCCGGTGAATTGTCCTCTTCAGTATCTGGAAGAACCTTCGATCCGTTTGTCACCAGTGAATCTGGATTAGGAGCCACAGAAGAATACTCCATATTGTTGAAGTTGGTCCTCATTTCTAGCCGATTTGAAGCCTTTGGGGGCCCGTTTAGCTTTCCCACCTGAGGACTGACACGCTTGGACAAGTGATGCCTTGGGTGTCCACCAGTTTCACCATTAGCATAGGACATTCTGCAATCAAGTCACGACTCGATCCCTTGATCAACATTGAAGACAATCAAAGCATGGTAAAAACCTTGCTAATGCTTGAGGACTCCAACCAAGCATTCTTATCAAATTCTTCTACGGCACCCAAAGATCCATCACCTGTTGTCAGGAAGCTGAAAGTAAAGCACGAGAAGATATTTAGATGCTGGAAGTTGAAACCAATAGACGGAGAAGCACTGATGCCCAGTTGTCAAAACGATTTACAACATAAGAGAATAACCAAGTTGGAAGGGACTTTGGAGATCTAGTCTAACCCTCTGCATGACCATGTCCCAACTGTGTTTTTTTTTTTTTCAAGGGCCAATTGGACTTTCTGGTTTTTCTTTGAAGACGTTTTGCTTCTCATCCATGAGAACGTCTTCAAAGAAAAACCAGAAAGTCCAGTTGCCTCTTGGGACAACCATGACCTGGATGACTGAGAATCTCCATAGACATGGTGGGACCGGAAGTTGGCAAACAGGCCGTTTCCAGTCTCCGGAGGGCCTCTGGGGGGGGGAGGAGGCCGTTTTTGCCCTCCCCAGACTCCTAGAAAGGCTCTGGAGCAGTGGTGAAATGTAAAATTTGTTACTACCGGTTCTGTGGGCATGGCTTGGGGGGGGGTAATGTGACTGGGTGGGCGTGGCCAACTTTTTTTTTTTTTTTACCTTTTAAAATAATTTTTTCTACAACTTCTTCGGCTGAAGAGGTTGTAAAAAAATGCTTTTAAAAGCCTCTGACAATCCCAGCTGAGCCGCGGAATCATCGGAGGCTTTTTTTTTTTACTTTTAAAAGCATTTTTTCCACCGAAGAGGTTGTAGAAAAAAATGCTTTTAAAAATTAAAAAAAAAACTTCTGATGATTGCGCGGCCCAGCTGGGCATGGGGGGGGAGCAGGGATTTTTGCTACCAGTCCTCCGAACCACCTGCTGCCATCGCTACCGGATTGGACGATCCGGTCCGAACCAGGAGCATTTCACCCCTGCTCTGGAGCCTGGTGAGAGAGAAAAATGGACCTACCAGGCCATCGCGTGCCAGGAATGGGGGGAACGGAGGGGGGCTGTGCACGCATGAGTGGGGGCAGGGCCCATAGAATTATGGGTGTGGGCACATGCATGCACCACCACCCCGTCCCATTCCTCCTGGTATGTGATGGCTAAAAGGTTAGCCATCGCCTTATGCCATTTCAGAGAAGTGGTAGTCCAGTCTCTTCTTAAAAACTTCCAGTGATTAAGCACCTTCAGCTTCTGAAGGCAAGCCATTCCACTGCTTAATTGTGCTCACCGTTAGGAAATTTCTTATTTCTAGGTTGCTTCTCTCCTTGATTAGTTTCCACCCATGGCTTCTTGTCCTGCTCTCCGGTGCTTTGGAGAATAGACATGATGTATATATTCCCATCCATTATCTACCAAGCTTTCACAACAAACTAATATATTGCTTAATGCCTGGAGCGGCTCAACAAATAATAATAAATAGACATCCGGTAAGATTTAATTCCAAATGCACCAAAGGATTCAGAGAGCACGTTCCACATATTTCCTTGTTAGACAGCCCAGGTGCTTAAGTGTAGAAGTTAAAATATCAATTTAATGCAGCAAACAGGCATTCAGAAACAGCTGTTCCTTCTCAGAGTCCTTTTTGTGATACATTTGGCATTGCTGCTGGCTCAGTGGCTAAGACGCTGAGCTTGTCGATCGAAAGGTCGGCAGTTCAGCGGTTCGAATCCCTAGTGCCGCATAACAGGGTGAGCTCCCGTTACTTGTCCCAGCTTCTGCCAACCTAGCAGTTCAAAAGCACGTAAAAAATGCAAGTAGAAAAATAGGGACCACCTTTGGTGGGAAGCTAACAGCATTCCGTGCGCCTTTGGCGTTGAGTCATGCCGGCCACATGACCACGGAGACGTCCTTGGACAGCACTGGCTCTTCAGCTTTGAAATAGAGATGAGCAGCGCCCCCTAGAGTCAGGAACAACTAGCAAATATGTGCAAGGGGAACCTTTACCTTTACCTTTTAACCTGTGAACAGCCTTAAAATTTAAAAAGCAACTTGGACATCTTTCAATGATGCTGACTATTTCACTTTATATTTCATAGGAACACAGGCTGCTACTGTATATCTGGTGCTCAAATCCACCTACCGTAGCTAAAGTTATTTTTAAAAAATATATTTTTAATAACTTTAATTTTAATTTTCAATTTAATTTAAAAGTATCTAATATTTGAAATGTTTATAAAAATGTAACTAGGCATACCTGAAATTATATAAGATATTCTTCTGGGTATGTGCTCCCTGTTTTAATTATTGCAAAGATATACACTTTTCTCTCTCAGTTTATAAAACGATTGTCATCATTGTTATGCTATCAATTGGTAGCAGTTTCTGATGACTTGCAATTCATTGCGTTAGTGGGATTTTTTGATATCCAATTTATTTAGAATAAGGAATATTTCCCCACATCCAAAGATCCGAAATTATTGATTATCTGTCATATAATCTGTCACACTTGGAATATTGCATTCAGTTTTGGTCTCCGTGATGTAAAAAAGATGCTGAGACTCTAGAAAGAGTGCAGACAAGAGCAACAAAGATGATTAGGGGAGGACTGGAGGCTAAAACATATGAAGAACAGTTGCAGGAACTGGGTATGTCTAGTTTAATGAAAAAAAAAGACTAGGGGAGACATGATAGCAGTCTTCCGATATCTCAGGGTTTGCCACAAAGAAGAGGGAGTCAAACTATTCTCCAAAGCACCTGAGGGTAGAACAAGAAGCAATGGGTGGAAACTAATCAAAGAGAGAAGCAACTTAGAACTAAGGAGAAATTTCCTGACAGTCAGAACAATTAATCAGTGGAACAACTTGCCTCCAGAAGTTGTGAATGCTCCAACACTGGAAATTTTTAAGAAGATGTTGGATAACCATTTGTCTGAAGTGGTGTAGGGTTTCCTGCCTAAGCAGGGGGTTGGACTAGAAGACCTCCAAGGTCCCTTCCAACTCTGTTATTCTATTCTATATCAGCCAAAATTTAAATAGATATCAAACACCTTCCCCCATTATATTCACCAATCCCCAAAGCTATAAGGAATTTTTTCCCCCTTTCTTTGGGAAATTATTTTGCTGTATATATTCCCATCCATTAATATTTAACTGTAGCATAACAACAAAACACACGTTTTATCTCAAAACACAAAACTGGTGCCTAAACTTGTGAGCAATCTTTTCCAGAGTGAGAAAAATTGAATTAAATTACAATTGAGTTACAATCTCTCCTTTCTGAAATGGATGGGATGGGATGATTTCAAGACAACATTTCAAACTGGAATCCCTTGTCAAAACATGCTACACTCCCAGATTTTGTTCTGCATTAAAAAAGGAAATATATTTTAGAAGTTTTGGACTGTTCCCTCTTGCAACTCAACTTACGCTTTTTGTCACGCATTCTCACGGCAACCGCTGAATACATCCAGCTCCACTTGTAAGTCAAGATTTCCTCTTCAGGGAAGAACACATGAGCAGCTAATTTTTCTTCCCTTGACTTAATATTTATCGCTTCCCGGGGGGCTGAATTTATAAGGGAGCAAAGAGGCTCACTTTATTCCCCAAACCATTTTTTTCATAAACGTTATCTTGTGAGCAGCGGAATTTCTCACAGGAAAAGCTTCTGCAAATTCACCCTTCAGATATCAGACAAAGCCCCAAAGCACCTGGAGACTAGAAAATACCTTCTCCTGTTGCATGTTGCTATTTTCTCTCTGCTCCATCTGGTATCATCCAAGACTGGATGCAGACCGTCTGGCTTTGTTCTCCGTCTCAGAGAGTCCCACCCTCGGACATCCATAAGTCCTCCCCTCCGTTTCCCTTGCTGGATATTGTTTGGCTCAAGACCTACTGGGCACTTGCCCAGACAAATGGGGTTTTATCTCTGCATTCCTGCTAGCACCTCTTTTGACCCACCAAGTTCAGAACAAGTGGACTCGATATACCATCTTCTTCTTACATCCTCTGAAGACCTATATGGCGCCTGCCAAGCCTGGCTGATGCCATCTGCAAAAGGGCTGAGGATTAAGAGAGCTACTGAAAAGGAGGTTGTGAGTTTGATCCTAGGTAGAGGCAGATGTAGGGTTTCCTGTTTGGGAAGGAGGTTGGATTAGGTGACCTGCAGAGTCCCTTCGAACTCCTTTAATCTGTTATGTAAGCAGAACTTTGACGACTTTTTAAATGTTATTTAATTTTATTTTACTTAATGAAACTAAAATTTTAATTTCATTTTCATGTTTGCTGATTAGTGCGCATTTAAAGTGACAATAAGGTTTTTATTCTATTCTATTCATTTTCAAAGCACAATTGATGAAATAGTTGATTGTATGCTGCACTATTACGATAGAAGAAAGGGAATTGGTAAAATCAAATCGATCTTGAAAATGCAGATTTCTTTTCTGTCCTGCAGAAAAGACAAAATCCTACAAGTATTATGTTTCCTGTTCATATCTTGTTTCCCCGAAAATAAGACAGCCCCTGATAATCGGGCTTTTGAGTGCATGCGCTAAAATAAGCCCCCCCACCCCGAAAATAAGCCCTCCCTGAAAGTATTTAAATACAGAGCTGGAAATTAGGTGAGACAACAAGAGGAGTCCTGTCTTGCTCCACACGCCCCAAAATAATAATAATAATAATAATAATAATAATAATAATAATAATAATAAATAAAAAATAATAAGACCTTCCCCAAAATAAGGCCAAGCGCTTATTTCGGGGTTCAAAAAAATATAAGACAGAGTCTTATTTTCGGGTAAACACAGTAGCAGGCTGGATAAAAATCATAATAATTTTTTTAAAAAAATCAGATTTTTTTGATTTAAATGGGATTTTTTTTATTTAAATGGGATTTTTTTGATTTAAATCGGATTTTTTTTATTTTTATCGAATTTATTTTAATAAAAACTTTTGGGGTAAAAATCTATCGTAAGATAGTTTTCTATTTAAGATACAT